CTAGTGGGATTCCCTTATAGGTGATTTGACACTTTTGTCTTGCTGTATTTAGAATTCTTTATCTTTAACTTTTGACAATCTGACTATAATGTGTCTTGGGGAGGTCCTTTTTGGGTTGAACCTGTTTGGGGATCTTTGAGCTTCTTGGATCTGTGGGACTATCTCTTTCTCAATACTTGGAAGTTTTCAGCAATTACTTAATGATACTCAATCCAGAAAACCTTGAAGTTGTATTCAATTCTACTGTGTAACAGCTAAGTGACTCTTGAGGACGTTCCTTAAATCTTTGAAGCTCAGTTTCTTCATTTATAAAGAGCGGATAATTCTCTCTAAGAGCTGTTGTCAAGATTCTATGAAATAACACCTGTCAAGCACAGGCTCTTAAGAGATGCACACCCATCTTTTGCCTACCTCCCCTTCTAGGGTTTTGGAAAATTACTCTGTGTCCACTCTATCATCATGCCATTCTCATTCAATTATTAGGCATGAATCTTTGAGGATTAAAGCAATGCCTAGCATGGAGTAATAAGTCTCAATACATGTGTTGACCAAAATAAAGGGATTAATGAGAGAATGAGTATCAAGCTAGGAAAACAAAGATATTAAAAAGTCATACACCCAGTCCTTAAATAACTTGAAAAGGAAAATGCACAAGGGTACAGGGATAGTTATGACAGTGAAATTCCATGAACTGAAAAAATAAAAAGATAAGTAAAAACTTATTACCTGACTCATGTCTAGTATCAAAAGACAGACATGGATTTATTTCTGTCATTCAATTTGCCAGTGCTATTACCGTATGAAGATCCTGAGACTAGTGCTAGGAAGTACAGAGAAAGAAAAAAATAACTGCTTAAGAGTCAGGCAAGACTTCCCAAAGGAAATAAAATTTGAACAGGCAGAGAGAGGGAAAGGACATTTCTGGCAGAGGAATAAAAAAAGATTTGATCTCTTTTGTGCCATGCATTCTAGGAAACCTTAAATCCCTTTGAACTTTTCTAAATACTATAAATATTACACAAATTCTTATACAAAAACTTGTAAGGAAAAAAAATGAACTGTATAAATCATCCTACTGACGATAATAAAAGTACTTTTTTTTCTAGTTTGTCTTGTAAAAATATAATTCTTATGTAAAATCATACTCTATAGTTTAATATACTTGCCTATCATTTTTACATATTTTTGCCTTTGGTCAGTTTTGAAGAAAGGGTAAAATCATCATTCCATTTCTATTCCTCTTNAAAATCATATTTTTGATATAGAAAACTTAAAATACTCAGCCTGAAAATCCACAAGGGAAAAAAATAGGACACACGGTTTCTATATCCAATGTCATGGTCGAGGCACATTAGGAATTATGTATAGTTAAGCTTTCAATTGGAGGGGTGGGAGAAAGGGGTTGAATCTGAAACCTTTAGAGTTTTTTTTTTTTTTTTTGATATTGGTCATTTATCAATCTAATTTAAAATATTTCCATTTGAATTCCCTAAGATTATTTCAGATAGTACTTGGGGAAAGAGGTAAATGAATTCTATTCTCATGTGTGGAGTTGTGTGAATTATCATTCTATCATGCACAAATGGAAATGGTTTTCGTAAGGCAAAAGAATTTTTTCCTTAAGTGATTAAACCAGACATATCATGAAACTGTAAATGGCAGAAATAGCATTCACACCCTTTAATTCTGAGTTAGGTTCTCCTTCCTCTATGCTTTGTCTGTTGGAACCCATATTGATTGACAACTTCTTTCATATGTTTTTTATTTCCTCATCTTTTTGTTTGCATACAGGAAGATTTCTTCACCTTTATTCTCCTGTGCTTTCAAGTGAAAAAAAAAAACTTATATTTTAAATTTCTAAAAGCTCTTTCTTGTTTGTTTGTTTTTCAGTTTTTTCCCCCATGCATCCTGCTTCATAAAATGCTATATATGTTATCATCTCTAAGGATTATTATTCTTTTTAATATTTCTTCTGTTTCTTCAGGTCCCTTCTCCTAATAATTTGTTTCAGTTCTAATCTTTTGCATTCCTGATATGATTGACAATCCTTGGCTGCCTATTGATATTTAATAAAATATGAAGTTCCTAAGTCATAGATGGACTTTATAGGTTGGATTTACTCTTGTGTGTATATGGAAATCTTTTCCCTACAGTGATTTAGTTTCTCTAGATAAGAATTCAACAGTTTCTTGGGAGATAAGGTATAAAGGGACAGGGTTGCTGGGGGAAGGGGAATAAACCCTGTGTTGCTGGTATTCTGCATGAGGTAAGGAAGGGGTAAAGACCTGAGTGCTCCATGGGAGGACCTCCAGTCAATCCTGTTGTCATCCCCTCCTCATTCCACCTCCAACTGTGCAAGCTATTTTTGAGCCCTAGACCTCTCTTATTCATCTGCTCTACCACCAAGAACTCCCTTCCCCCTGCCTTGGAGGTGGGTGTCTGTTGGCTGGCATTTGTGTACACAGGGTACAGACCTGACTGATCCATTCATAGGTTCCAACTCATTACCCGTTGGGGGACACAATTCAAGCTTTAGTGAGTTTTAGGAAAACATAATTGAATCCACTACAGTCCCTATGCTGACAAATCACTTATAATACTTTCATCTGCTTTCTGACTTCCAAAAATCAGTTTAAATATCTTGTCCAATGAAGTCTCTCCTTCCATTCTGATTGTTCCTGAAATTATTCCTTCTCAATATTTTATTCATTAAAAGCTTATTCTGATTTACCCACACAACCACCACTTTTTTGCCCACCATTCTTTTTGCCCCTCACTCCATCACCCCTCCTAGATTGGTGTTCTTTTGAAGAATATCTTCAGCAATTTCATCAGCAAGGCTTTTTGGTGGACTGCTTTTTATTTAATTTCTTGGCCTAGGAATTCCTTGATTATGGAGGTAAGGTAACTTCAAAACCCAAAGCTCAGTAAAGGGAAGATGATAATGACAAATCCCAGCAGAGACTTCATTCTCCATCCAGGTCCCACTCTGAGACAGGCAAATGTTCATGCTGCCTTCTTGTACCAATACACAAACATATCGCTGTGGGTGTAAATTCCCTGCTCTGTTTAGGCATCTAATTCCTGGCCTTCCATTGGCTCAAAGCTTTGTCTCTTATTCCAGAAAAAATGAAAGAAATAAGCAAAAAGCTCCATCTCACTGGTTTCCACAACGAGTAAACAAATGCAAATGAGCTGCAGGATCAGCCTACTGTTTACTGTTCTAGTATTTAGTTACCACTTCATTTCTAGCTCCTGGGTAACTCTCTTACTATTTTTTGAGTTTAGCTAAACACTAAAAGCATATCTGTTATATTTTTTTCAAGCATATCTAGATATTTGTTAG